ATGTAATGTTTTGTTTTTAAAATGAAATGAATAAATACTATAAACTAAACAAAATGTTCTGTGTCAGGGTCACAGATCGTTTCCTTGAAAAGGAACGAAGGGTAGAATTTATAACCCACACATTTTATAATGTAGGCCGAAACTGAGCTTCCTCTCCTTGAAAGACCAGTATCCGCCACTGGTCTCACCGCCCCACCCACCTACCCCTGTCCATCCCCTACTGAGTTAGTGCTGCTGGCGTCATTTTTTTTCTTCATCATGTAAATGTTTTGCTGCTTTGAGCCTTAGTCAGAAAAAAACTGAAAGTGTTTTTATATTTTCGGTTTGAGAGAAGGATGAAACAGATGGTGGAATGACGTGCTTTTTTTACCATGAGACACATCAAATTGGACCATCATTAAAAAAATGGTTTAAAGTTTGAAGTCTCTACTTTTGACTCGAACTGAAACAAAGTCTCAGAGAGGGTGTATCTTTCCRRTTAGAGCGATTTAAACCTCGACACTGAGCTGCTTTCATCCTCATCGATGACTTCGACACGTTTACGCTTCAGGTGCCGTATCATGACCGTGGTGCTTCCGAAGCGTGGTGTGCTCTCATACTGATGGCTTGGGTCGAACCGTTTTATCTGAGTCCACCATTTGAAGATATTTTTCGAAACAMTGCCTCCGCCTCACTTCGTTCAACTCGCTCCGCATGTAGATTTTATTTCCTCCTAAACTATATTAAGGTCAGCCAACACTGACAACGCTCTGTGGGTGACAAACGGCTCCACCACATGGCGAGGKACGCATAAAATCGCGCAACACAAATAGATGATGAAATTCATCGCCGACACTTAATAATTGATTTTTATCGAGTTTATCAATTTGTTGTTGCTTAGATTTCTACATAAACTTTTAAATTAATTCTCTACAGCTGCAGTTTTGAATCTCTAGTTCTCAGCTCTTGTTTAATGTTACGCAAAATATGTGGAGGAAAGTTTTTGTGTCATACAAATAGCACAAAGAGTAAAACACATCAGTTTATGCCAGTTAGCTACTTCCATAATCAAACTTTCAATACTTCATTAAAGCCTGTCTTTTGTGATTTGATTGTTAAATGTTTCAGGTTTGGCAGTTATTGCCAGTCTGAGAACTAAACTAACAATACCCACTGATGCAAAAAATACAAGACTCAGGAATTTTTTTTCAGAGAAGTACAACATTTATCTTTTTAGCTGAACTGTGTTTAGAAATCTCTCTGTATTACTACATCGATTTTAAATGGGTGTCTTTATTTCAGTTCTCTGTGTGTGTCTCCATCATCAAGTCCCTTAATGACTGAAAGTCTACCTGTATTCTCAGCATCAAATGCCGGTTGGCGTGCTCAAGCTTTTTCTGCCGACTCTCCAGCTCCTTGGCTCGGTATTGTTCTCTCTGCAGCTTCCGGATGTAGTCCACCGACGCCTTCAGGATGGTGCCTTTGTTCCAGCGCATGTCTCTGAAAATCACAGATAGGGTCTCRCTTGTCAAGCAGCTTCTTAGTATCGAAAATTACATTTCAGTCAATCAACAAGTTAAATGAACAGAATGTAGAATTTAGTGACGTTTAGTCGTAAAGGATGGATCTGCAGGTAAACACTGATCTGTGCAACTAAACTCAAAAGTTTTTTGTTGTCCTCATAAATTAGAGGGGATCAAATCCACAAATCTGTTCGCTAAATTTAAGCTGAAATAAATTGAAGCATGAATCTAAGAGACATAAATGAAGTGCAGAGCTTCAGATATTACAGTATTTTTGGTTTATAAAAACACTATTTGTGATTCTTCGAACAATGTTTCTTTGGTTTACTGCTGCAGAGAAAAAGCAACACGAAGACAAAAAAGGAAAATACTGACTTGATTCTAGCTTCAGCTGAAGTTGATGAATATTTGCACAAGACTGAACTTTATCCTTCATCTATGTTTCTAGTGAAAGGAAGAGTTCTCTGCAGAACCAGTGTGAATACAGCAGCTACAGAAATCATCACCTTGCAGACGACTTTGAAGCAGTTTATAGAAAGAAATGTGAATGGGGTCCATTAAAGTTTTACGTTAAACAAACGTCAACTAAAGGGATGTTTTTTGCTGCACCATTTATATCCTTCTCATAAGTTGCACAATTTCACTTTTAATATGACAAATGTTTGTTTAGGATGAATGTTTTTCAAGCCGGTTTAAAAAAAAAGAGTGAATACGATATTGAACTTACGGGTCATTGGATTTTGGAATCAATGTTCCCAGTTCTTTGATTCGATCGTTGATGTTAAACCGTCGTCGTCTCTCAACTACAGAACATGAACAAATTAACAATAAAAATAAAAATAATTCAATTAGAATTATTTCTGCAACATAATCAGGCCATTTGCTTTAGTGTTCTTCTGATGAACCAAAGAAAAAGAACAAAACAATCTACACTCACTCAAATTGTGGTTGTCTTTCTTCTGCCGCTCCTTAGCCATGGCTCTTACCTCTGCTTCTGGAAAAAAGGCTTTGATCAGTAAAATGAGCAAAGCATAAAATTCACCCATAATCAACAGGTAGCTCRAAGCTAAATACTCAGACGTACCCACAGGGAAACCTTCAGGTCTTTGATACGTGTCAAATTTGCCACAGGATCCAGATTTGTCCAGCATATGCATGATGGCTGGAGATTGGGACACTAAGTGATRAATAACGGTTTTAAATAAAATCAAGTCAGCAATCGAATCAACACTTACAAAACTGCAGGTTAAAGTCACAACACAAGAAGACATAAATATATGTTATTAGTGAGACAAAGGCTTGGAGAGTGGAACTTTTTAAATGAATGATTCCCTTTTTCTCACAGTCTAAAAGCAGAACACATTTAATGGCATCAAACATCCTCTGCAGTGAGAAAGGTGAGCTGTGCCCGACTCACCTGAGTATTCTCTTTTGATGTTGGACAGGTTGGCAGGGCAGGAGTTGCTGATGGACAGACCTTGTGGGGGCATACCTTGATTACCGTACATGTCCATGAGGTTCGGAGGCACGGGCATCTGAGAGAGGAAAAATACAAAAATGAGTAATAAATTTTCTTAGAAAATGCTCATAAAGTTGTCCTGAGGGTCTTGAAACCTTTTCAGTTTATCTTAGAGAAAAAGTTCAACATCACAGCCTTCAATATCCAGGTCTAAAAGCTATTTTAAATCGTAAATGTGGAGAAAGTTGCCAAGGTGGGTACAGAGCAGAGCCAGGCACAATGTGGGCTGAGGTGGGCAATGAAATAATGTGCACGGCCTTGAATACAGTTTTGCGAGCTTTGCACACAAAAATAAGGCCCGCTTTTCAAAACTGGCTGTTGGAGACGTGGCCTCATGGCTTGCTGGTTGCAAACAGGTTTTGTCAGACTGGAACTGAAAATTTGCCCATTTTTGCATTTCAATTCAAGCCCAGTGACATACCACCCTTAGAGACTAATAAGCATCCCAGTACAAACAGATTAGGATTATCAGTAAAAAAAAGTCTGTCCATCCATCCATTTTCTTTTGCTTATCTGGGGTCAGGTCACGGGGGCAGCAGCCTAAGCAGAGAGACCCAGACTTCCCTCTCCCCAGCCACTTGGACCAGCTCATTCGGAGGAATCCCAAGTCGTTCCCAGGCCAGCTGAGAAACAAAGTCCCTCCAGCGTGTCCTGGGTCTTCCTCTGGACCTCCTCCCAGTGGGACATGCCCGGAACACCTCACCAGGGAGGCGTCCAAGGGGCATCCTAACCAGATACCCGAGCCACCTCAACTGGCTCCTCTCGATGTGGAGGAGCAGCGGCTCTACTCTGAGTCCCTCCCGGATGACTGAGCTTCTCAGCAGGCAGTATGGTCACTCGGCAGCCGACCGTGCGACGCGCCGTCACATGGTTGTTCGGCGTTCTTTTTCACACACAACTTTCACAACTCCTGAGACACCCTGCAGCGGGCTCCTGGGAAACCCCTCCCGCTGCAGCATACGTCAYTGCATGGGATTTCTTCCCGGTGAAGTCCAATGTGAAAAAAAAAGGTCAGAGACTCATCACCTGATGTTGTTTATCCACAAACTGGTTCCAGATTAAGCTCCAAAGTTTTTATCAGTCAGATTCCACCGTGAAAAATGTCTGTTTTATCCCCTTTTATGAGTTTTTGGCCATTGACTATCT